GTGTGATGCCATCATGTCAATATGGACCAAAATCTCTGAGGAATGCTTCCAGCACCTTGTTGAATCTATGCCACGAAGAATTGAGGCAGTCCTGAAGGCAAAAGGGGGGTCCAACCCGTTACTAGCGTGGTGTACCTAATAAAGTGGCCGGTGAGTGTATGTTTACTGGGTGATAAAACACAAATACCCAAAATTTCAAGAGAAGTTTTCAGTAGTTATGGTGGGAATCTCTGTAACAACTAGGGTTATTCTTAGACACTGGAAAACTGGAAAAAGTCCACAAGTAAAAGAATGGGTCAACATGATGATTAAAGTAGCATCTTATGAATGTAAGCTGTATCAATTAAACAACACAGACAGTACTAACGCACCAAATTGGGACCCTTTTTGATCATACATTACTATCTGGCAACAAACAAGCTGACAGTTGATATTTATTTATATTGTCATCATCTTTTCTGCATGTGGTCATTTACACCTAATTTTGATGTATATGAATATTGCAGGTCTTAAAAAATCTTTCCTAACAGATGCTGCAACTTATGCATCCCATCTCTTCTGTTCTATTGTGATATGAGTATTTTCATAGCCTATTTCTCCCATCTCAATTTTTTTTCCTCTGTAAATGTAAGAGTGATGTCATGTGCCAAGTAAGCTAATAAAAACTTTGTTGGAAAAAAAAATCCAAAGTTTAATCAAAAAATCTGTTTTTACATAAATTTTAATTAATTTTTTCAGCTGTTCATCCCTGTACCTTGTACGAAATGTTGGTAAAATAAAAAACAAACACATCTTTGGTAAATATTAGTATTTTAAAGTGTTTTCTTTTAATAAAATAGGAATTATATTAGTCTGTCATATAAACACCCAATATTCAAAATCACAATAGATCATTTAAAACTTCAAAAGGCACAAAATCAGTCAAATGACCACATAATTTATTTATTAAATAAAATATTTTACAACTGAAAACCTTCTGCATGTGTCAACCTGCTGAGGAGAGACTGCATAGCTGGTTGAAGATCTGCTGGGATGATCTCAGACGACGTTGTGGAGCAGAGCGATGACGAGGGCCACGAAGGTCAGGGAGGACGAACACGCCGCCGAAGAGCCGGACTCAAAGGGCTCCGTGTTCCTGAGCATCCAGTCCTTCTCCTCCCGCAGACCCTGTCTGTCCAGCTCAGGACCCACCAGGTCCCGGATCTTCTGGTAGTATTTATTTAGCCACTGGACCTGGAGAGAGAGAGACCCTCGTTACTGGAAGGTGCTTCTAAAAACAACCCACCGATGATCAAATTCAAATTTAAATTAAAAATTAAGCCGAAAATTCAAAAACATAACAAGCAGTGTTGGGTGGGTTTTTCATTAACTTTGAAAACCGTTAGCGGACCAAATAGCATCTGCTAAATTAGGTTTTGCCAACTTTAAGCCKAACTAACTAACCAACATCAGCAGGTTTATGTCAGTCACACCAGTCTTCAGCTCATTTCTTGATGAGTGCCCACTGCTGTTAACAATAAAGTCACTGCTGGGAGTCACACATAATTCTTCTTCTGCACTTTGAAATGGTTTTAGTTTATCTCTTGATATTAAATCTTTAAAGTATCTTCAGCTGCCTGTAAAGAAAAAAAAAGAACAAAAACACAGAAGTAGATTTCACACATGGTTTTGTTTTTCTCTCYGTTTTAATCAGTGAGCAGCACAGAAGCTCGACCACATGTGTGAAGGGGGGATTTTAAGAGGAAACCAACTCTCGAACTGCAGGAAAAAGAAACACACCGTCTGTGTCTCACTCTCGTACAGCCAGAGGTTTATTTACAAACTGCAGCAGGAAGCTGACAGCCTCTTTAGGGAAGTAAGCTCACAATGAGTCACGTGAGGTGGTTTCTGTCATGTTTCATGTAAACAGTAAGTTGAAAATAATTTCTTCTCACCTGCTCTGAACTGAGGAGCGACGTGTCGATCAACTTTCTGTCGTACGGAACAAGTGAAACGGTGTCAAAGGTCAGGAAGTTGTGTCCAAACTAGAGGAAAAGACGGCACATTAATAAACAACCACTAAGAAATAGTTCCAAAACATGACCTTCAAAATAAAAGCTGCACACTCAAGATGGACGCTTACAAATACAGTATTACTAACACAACCAGTGGTGGGCACAGTTAACCAAAAACTCATTATTCGCTAACATGTAAAAAGAAATTAGCAGAAGCTAATGCTAAACAGCTAAACCAGTAAAAATTAGCCGATAACTGGTGAGACTGACACAAACCTGTTGATGTTAGTTTGTTAGTTAGCTGTTAGCGGACTCAAAGTTGGCAAAACCTAATTTAGCAGATGCTAATTAGTTTGCTAATGGTTTTCAAAGTTAATGAAAAAGCTAATCTGCTAAATGAAAAATTAGTTCAGCTATTATTTGTTAGCTAATTGCCCACCACTGGTAATGAGCCTTTTAACAAAGAGCCTCATTTTAAGTGTTTATAAAATTTTTTATTGCAAAATATATTTTTTTATTTCTATATGATTTCTGTGGAATTTTCTCTTTTGTAGCTCTCAATAGTCCACAAAGCAGAGCTGCCCAAGTGGGGCCCGCGGGCCACTATTTGGCCTGCCAAGCCATTTGATTTGGCCCACCAGCAGTTTCCCTGGCTACTAGGTTGTAATCTCTTGTCTTATGTAGAAACACTACTTTTCCACTTAGTCATTCCAACCATTGGTCCAACTTTATAAGGAGCTGTAGATAGGCTTAACTCATGTTACTTAAMTGACCTTTGCATTGTATTAAGAATAATCAAAAAATGTAAGTAACTACAAGAGATATTTAGATTAGAATGAAGCACACATCTAGATTTGCACACTTTATAAGATCATAAATACGAAAATTTTAATTTATGAAAAGTCTCATGAGCCTTTGATGCCTGAGCATACGTCAGATTTTCTCCATGTCCATGAGCTAAAAACAAACAAACAAACAAAATAATGTGGGCCGCTGCACTGTCTGCTAGCTTAATCATGAAAAATAAAACAACTTTACTTAAAGAAGTATTTGCATTTCATGTATGATATTATTGCATTTGGCCCACAGCCGATTTTTCATTTTGGCCCTCTCAATGAAAATGTTTGGGCACCCCGCCACAAAGTGTTGTTTTGTCTCTACCTTTGTGTGAGCGGGTGTCGTCACAACAACGTCTTCGATCCGTATCCCAAAGTCATTCTCTTTGTAATATCCAGGTTCTGAAACAACAACAACAACAAAACACACACCTGTGATTCTGTACGGGCAAACTTCTGAGCAGTGAAATGCAAAGTAAATTTCCACAAAGTCTCCAGGAACTTAATCACATTCTTTAAATATCATTCCAGCATTTTTGTAAAAGAAAATATAAAAAGACACATTTTGCACTGAAATCACTTGAAAACTGCAGCTAATGTTTTGTTTATTCTTCTGAAGAAGGACAAAAAACACGCCTCACCTATTGAAGTGAACATGCCGGCTGTGAAAGGAATATTGTTGGTCTGAAAGCCGACTGGCCCTGAAAACATATTAGAAAACAAAAGACATTTCTGTCATAACGCCTCTAAAATATGATCCAAATCCGTTTTTAGAGCAAAGTGGCTTCAAGCAAGGTGATTTGTAGTAGCATTTAAATGTTTAAATGTGTTTTTTCTTCTTATCTTTTCAATGTTGTCAGAAAATTCAGCAACAATTCAGCAACAAAGCACACATCCTGTTGTGTTGAATTCCAGCTGTTTAGTTGGTTTTCTTTTAGTCAGTTTAATCAAAGGAGGTTCTGAAAAGCTCCTGTTGGGGGATTTTTCAGTGTGTTGGGGGGCAAAA